AAAAAAAAAAAAAAAAAACTAGCCTTCCGTGGCTTTGCGGCGATGGGTGGCGCGTGGGCGATGGCGAGCATGAAGGTGGCGGGCTGGCGCTAACGGCTGCAGCTCGAAGTTCTCATGTCTGCTTGAATGAGTGTGGCGTCAACCTTGACATAGTTGCGCGTGGGTGGGGTTGCGGCAGTGGGCAGGAGCAGTGTGCCTGTAGGCCGGTAGGCTCACGTTTTCGAATTCGAAAACATGACCGATTTTGACCGCCGATCTGCAGATCAGCGGCCGAAATCAGCCTCGTTCTCGAATTTGGAAACAGGGGCCTGTAGGACCCTGAAATTTTGAAAGATCGCGTGGCAGATCTCCACCGCCGATCTCCAATGATCAGCGGTGGAGATAGGCCACTCGTTCGTTTAAAATTCCGGGCTCCTATAGGCCCATCTTTTTTTTTTTTTTCCCCCGATGCTGGGACGGTCTCCTGGAGGGTGGGCGGGCACGGGGATGCCCTGAAATCCCCGGTACCCCCTCCCCCCCAGCATCATGTGCTGGGTTGGACATGCGGCCTGCCGGACTGGCAGGCTCCCGGATGTAGGAGGGCCCCACAGCACTGACTTGAGCTGCATTACACGTAGATTTGTCCTATCTGTGGACTCACTTCGCAGTGTATTTGCCATGTGGGTTGGCCATTGCAGTGAATGAAGAAGTTATCCCCAGGTTACTGAGCACGCCATACTCCTGCCGTCTACCCATGTCTACCGCTATTGGAACCACTGATCTTGGGGAAGGTGGGCAGAGTGGGGGGGAGGGAGCGGGGGCGAGGGGAGAGAGAGAGAGAGAGAGAGAGAGAGAGAGAGAGAGAGAGAGAGAGAGAGAGAGAGAGAGAGAGAGAGAGAGAGAGAGAAGAGTCTGGTTAGCTGACACAATGTGGGAGGCAGTTCTGGGATGAGATGTAGGTAAATCACTTGCATGCTCTGGCATGTGGTGCACCTCTTGGTTGCGTTGTAGTGAATCCAGCTGGAAACCGTCTTGATCTCTGATGTCTGTGTTTTTGGTCCTTGCTAAAGTCTTTTTCATCTGCGGATGTGCGCACTGTGATGCCCAAAGGACTATCAGTGGTGATGCTGCTTGGGCAATGTTTTGGCTGAACAGAGAATGCGGGACTCAATTGAGAAGGCATTGTTTCTGAACAATGCTGCGATGACTGCGGTTCATATTTACATTGAATGTCGTTGTGTGCTCTCCCTGTGATGCCTCCTTTTGAGCCGGGTTTTTCAATTTTCTTTTCCCTGTTGTTTCCTTTGCAGAACAGATAACGAGTAAATAACTAACCGTATATTAAATCACCGTCAATGACAGACAGCTGTCCAGTCTTACGTTGAGTGCGATTGTCAGTGTTCCCTGCGGTATGCTTCTCTTAAGACGGGTTATGGGATTGGCAAATATTCATGCCCTCGGCCAAGCCAAAGGAGGCCGTGCGCCCCCTAAGCAAAGGCGGGCCAGCCAAAAACTAGGACGGTCCTATGAAAGGCCGACATGAGCAAAAGAAGGGGCCCTGTGTGGTTACGAGCAGCAGCGTGCAGCATCCGTAACCAACCAGTAGGTCTGGCCTATGAGTTGGTTACAGCTGCTGGGCGAATTCTTCCGGAAGTGCCTGGACATAGGAAACTGGGATGGGGCAGAGCTTGGGCGCAGGGCCTCTCCAGCCTCTCCAGCCTCTCCAGCCTCTCCAGCCTCTCCAGCCCGCGCAAAAGAGAGGATCAACCAGACTTGCACATTCCGACATTGTGCCAATTTGGCAGCGCTGCTGGAGGATCGACCAGACTTGCACATTCCGACATTGTGCCAATTCGGCAGCGCTGCTGGAGCAATAGCTAGCTGAGCGCTGTGCCCGTGGAGGAAGCTGCTGCTGTCGCAGCAAGGAATGAGGAGGTGGGAGCCTGCCATAGCCAGACAGTTTGCGCCATAGCCGGATGTTGTGTGTGTGTGATTCTTGGGAGAAGGAGAGAAGGGAGGCAGTGGGAACGAGGCTCATACCTGGTATTGAGGGAGGCAGGCTGTATGACCAGAGTCTTCAAGCTGCATTGCGCGATTGGCACATGAATCATTGCTGTCATTTAGATAGGGTAGAGGAGTAGGAGCGTAGGAAGTAGGAAGGGCGGTCAGGTCGCCATTAGGAAGACTACCTTGTCGTTGTATTGATGATTGGAGCCGATGGAAGGACTTTCTTTATCAAGAGACCTGGGTGTATTGGTGTGCGTTTCACTTTGATGTCTACTTTCAATATGGCTCAATTATGTCTGCTCTCTGTATGATGTTGCAATCTTGTTTATCACTGTTTTCATTGCTTATTTCCTCGCGATTTGGTATTGGAGATGGTTTGTAGGCACTTGCGCTTAGGTGCCGCGGAGTTGGTTCATGTGGTGTCCGCTCGGTCAGAAGGTCCATGTGATCACATTCTTGCTGGAAGAAGGTCATGCACGAGGTAGAGCATGCATGGCTGGAAGGCTGTAAGTCGGGGTATGTCATGTGTGTTGGGTGTATGGTGATTGCTCGCCGTTGCTTATGGAGGCATTTGCATTGTACTGTCGTTGGTTCCTTAGCTACAGACGGTCAACATACGACATATCACCACAGCGGGTGAGAAAATATGTGGTTGGGGGCAGCATCGACCAGGTATGTTGTCTCTGACCTTATCTACCCTCCTTTATTTCACTTGACAGTCCTTGTTTCTGCCCTATATGTGGTTGGGGGCAGCATCGCCCAGGTATGTGGTTGACGCAAAAGGAAGAGGCGGCGTCTGCCTCAATTCTCACATTCTGGCGGGCTGGATGTTCGGCAGTGCTGCTGGAGTGCATGCGTGAGAGCCTGGCCAGGGGAAGGAGGAGCTGCATGGTGGAGTAGCGTGTGACTGGGCGGCAGGCATAGGCGGGCAGCGCCCAAGAGCCGATTGGGGATAACAGTGGTCCGTGAGCATGAGGACAGTGGTCGGGTAAGACGGGGTGTGAGCGTGCAACAAGGCACTTACCTCGTGAAGAAGAAGCGGGCCGCTCACTCGGAGTCTTCAGCCGTCATCGGGCTGACGGATTCATTGCAGACCTGCTGTAGCCAGGAGTCTAGGTTCATAGGAGCTTCTGTCAGTGGTCTGGGCGTGGAGTGCCATCATAGAAGACCTATGTTGTTGACATTGGTGATTGGAGAGGAGGGGGCTTTCATTATCATGCGACTTCAATGCTTTGTTTGTACTTATTTGGTGTTATCTCGGTTTGCAATCTGCTTTCAGTTCGGGCTCAAATTTATCTGGATTTCCGTGGAATGCTGTAATCTGGTTTCTGGTCGTTCATTTTGCTCATTTCCTTGCATGTCGTTCTTTCCCATGCTTGTTTCTGTTTCACATTATGCTACCTCTTTGGAATTGTCCTTGTTCTTGTGGCAGGCTGAACCTATATTAGAGACAGATGAGGAAGAGAGCGTGCACCATGGGTTCTTTGCTGGGCTCTTTCCCCTCCTGGTCTCTATATTTCTTCCCCACCCTTCCCAGTCCTCAAACTTCCTTTTTTGCATGAGATGAGTGTGCCATAGCTTGAGTGTGCAAACGTGGCCATTTTTGCATACTCTTGTGTCCGTCTTTTTTTGTGTAGATTTGATTACCCAACAGCACCTGGGATGACCTGTACAAGTATTGCTACTGTGTCTTCTACGACCTTTTGCAGACTGTGATAGTGTTAGAACTTGTGGACTCAAATTGGGAGCCGGCCTGCCAAGGCAGGTGTGAAGAGGAATGTGGTTGTTTTGTCGGGTCGATGATCATGTGCTCGACTGTTGTTTGCCTGATCTTCCCCCTGTAGAAGCACGAAGGTCTGGTTGCTGTTCTGCTTTTCCTCTGAGTGGGACCTGTATATTCTGCAGCACTATCGAATGGCTATGAGGGGGCTGCCACGACAGCAAAGATGATAAATGTGCCAAATATGATGACAAATTGCAGGAATGGGGGAGTCTTGCTGCACGTTGCAGAGTTGCCAATCTTTTTGCCCTTTGCGCATCATGTTAGCTTGTGTGGCTGACCTCCTCGCCCATGCTCCTCTTCGACCCCCACCTTTTCAATGAAAAAGGAGGAGAAGAAAAAGACTGATGATGAACCGTGCACGTGCTCTCCGATGGGATTGGGTGCATATGTAACTGGCAAGCCGTTGGAGGCGTGATTGACTCCGTTAATCTTGGATGGGCAATTCCTGAAGTGAAGAGTGTTGACGAAGCTGAAGTAGAGGGCTTATGTAGAATTGGGGTCTCGCTTAGTTTCTATGACCCACACCTTTGATGTGCCAATGCTGAAACCAGAAGTTGCCCATTGGAACACTTACAGGCAGGCCCTAGTATTCTATCTGTCTGTGGGTTTAGCAATTGGATCCACGTTATGTGGGCTTGATATTAATCACCTGAATGTGACAGCACAAGACTGGTTTTGTCCTGCATAAGCCAGTAGGGTTTGGCCCTTGTTCTTCCTCCAGTGACTGATCAGCAAGGACTTCCACATTGTGTCCAATGTTGACTGTGATATTGTGATCACAATTTTTCCTACAAGGATCTGGATAGAGTCGAGTGTGCTGCGGACCTTGTGTTTGTGATTGTGCGATGGATCCCGAGTGTCATGGTCACAACAGAGTAACTTCAGTTCAACCACGCAATGAGCTCCGGGCATCCTGAGCATGAGGAGAGAATGATGTAGGCTCGGACATGCATTGACATTAAGAGAAAGTTACCAGGGCAAAAGTCTTAGCAAGTTAGCACTGAAAAGAAGAGGAAACGTTATCTGGGTCAGCTGTGTGAAGCATGGCATTACAGCTGTACCAGGGTGCAGAGTTGTGTGTGTGTGGTGGGGGGGGGGTGGGTGTGTGTGCGCGCGCGTGTGTGTGTGTGTGTGTGTGTGTGTGTGTGTGCTGTCTCTTATACACATCTAGATGTGTATAAGAGACAGGTAGTGAATCCAGCTGGAAACCGTCTTGATCTCTGATGTCTGTGTTTTTGGTCCTTGCTAAAGTCTTTTTCATCTGCGGATGTGCGCACTGTGATGCCCAAAGGACTATCAGTGGTGATGCTGCTTGGGCAATGTTTTGGCTGAACAGAGAATGCGGGACTCAATTGAGAAGGCATTGTTTCTGAACAATGCTGCGATGACTGCGGTTCATATTTACATTGAATGTCGTTGTGTGCTCTCCCTGTGATGCCTCCTTTTGAGCCGGGTTTTTCAATTTTCTTTTCCCTGTTGTTTCCTTTGCAGAACAGATAACGAGTAAATAACTAACCGTATATTAAATCACCGTCAATGACAGACAGCTGTCCAGTCTTACGTTGAGTGCGATTGTCAGTGTTCCCTGCGGTATGCTTCTCTTAAGACGGGTTATGGGATTGGCAAATATTCATGCCCTCGGCCAAGCCAAAGGAGGCCGTGCGCCCCCTAAGCAAAGGCGGGCCAGCCAAAAACTAGGACGGTCCTATGAAAGGCCGACATGAGCAAAAGAAGGGGCCCTGTGTGGTTACGAGCAGCAGCGTGCAGCATCCGTAACCAACCAGTAGGTCTGGCCTATGAGTTGGTTACAGCTGCTGGGCGAATTCTTCCGGAAGTGCCTGGACATAGGAAACTGGGATGGGGCAGAGCTTGGGCGCAGGGCCTCTCCAGCCTCTCCAGCCTCTCCAGCCTCTCCAGCCNAAAACTGATGATGGATTGTTTCGTCGGAATTGCACCGACTCATCAGGAGGCTGAACCCTCGACAATCTGCGGCATCCCCGGTTTTGGATGCGTTAGGTCATGAAAACTTTGACCCCTGTTGAAGGTAGGTTGCCCACAAACGGAACACGGCAGCAGCGAGTGACGCCGTTGTGAAGCACCAGGCAACACACACAACGCCAGAGCACTGCGCAACACCAAAGATGGCTGCAAGCGGGACACCACGTAAAGCAAGAGGGATGGACAGCAAGACAACGGTGGCACGCAGACAGCACAAGGCAGCCCACACATCCAACACAGAGCCAAGCAACACATGACCTACCCACATCACGGGTGAACACCGCAGACTGTTGGTTCCCACCACCCAATGAGCCAGGGAATCACCCCGACGAACAACCATCATCACCCACAGGCAAGTAGTTCAGCAACCGTGCAGCGAAGCGAGGCACCGCCACAAGGTTACCAAACCACAAGGCACGCGAGCAAAGGACACGAGAGGCACGACCCGCAGGTAGTCGGCAAGGCAGCAGAGCAAYGGGGACGACCTGCAAAGCAAGCGGCACGGGCAGCAAGACCGCGGCAGAGCGCAGACAAGAAGTCTACACATCCAACATGGAGCAAAGCAGCACATGACCTACTCACATCACGATAGAACCCCGCAGACTGTTGGTTCCCACCACCCACTGAGCTAGGGGAACACTCCGACGACCATCTGTCATCACCGACAGGCAACACAGACATCCCGAACCGAGCGGTCCCCCTAAGAGTGCAGTTGGCACTCCAAACGAGGAACCACCGACTGTAGCACTGCTAGAGGGTGCTCGGCTAGAGACAAACGTACTTAGAATAAAACATAGGAAAGAGAAGAAAGACAAACATACCAAAAAAATTGATTGTGTGTGTGTGCGTGTGTGTGTGTGTGTGTGTGTGTGTGTGTGTGTGTGTGTGTGTGTGTGTGTTGTTTGTTTGTTTGTTTGTTTGTTTGTTTGTTTGTTTGTTTGTATGTTTGCGTGTGTGTGTGTGCGCGCGTTGTGAGCTGTCACCACAACAACCCCTTCTCCGCCAGTGCGTTTGTTCATTTGTTTTTGTGTTTTAGATTTGCACCACGACTGGCCCTGTTCCACCCAGACGAGTAGATCCAAAATTGATGCAGGTTTACCTGTGTTGCAGACAATGAAACGGTTTACCAATTTACAAGCAACATGGAGCAGAACAGATCCGTTATATCCCTTTCTTGACTATGTTTACTTTGGCTTTCTTTGGGGTACCCCTTTTCTTTGTTCTTGCAGCTCCCATTTTACTGTGCCTCTCAAGTACTCTGTGTGTGTGTGTGTGTGTGTGTGTGTGTGTGTGTGTGTGTGTGTGTGTGTGCTAGGGCCCGCGCGTGCACCTGCAGTGCTCTAAAGAGTTGTGGGGAGTCACAGAAACGTTGATTCAACTCTTTGGCTTGTTGTGCAGACCAGAGTGGTCAGACTTCTGCTAATTTCAATTCGCATCGAAGTCTGTTTTGCTGTTTGTGATCCGTCAGAGGGATAAATTGTGCTTTGCCATCCACTCCAACCTTTTTTGTTTATTGAAGTCCGTCACAATACAACAGTGCCAAATGAATGTGGCTGCTAGAGCCGTAGTTGGTTTGTGATAGTCTGCTGTATGTGGTGTGCCTAGCAGTTGTTAATGTGATTGTGCTCCCATTATCATCCGTGAAGGCATAAAGTTTGGACCTCTGTTGGCCTGCATTTCGGTCTGATGATCTGCAGGAGAGTGTCTTAGACTTCGATTGCGTGGTTGGAAACTTGCAGGTGGATGTTGAGAGTGCGGTGAGCAGGGAGGCATTTGTGCGGATTGCACCACATGTGTCGATCGCAGCGGACAGCATAACAGTCCACTCTCAGTTTGATGTTCTGACGTCTGAGTCTGGTGGGAGACTGCCTTTCGTTATCTATGACAAGTATCTGCAGGAACTTGACAAGTTAGTTCTTTTCCCCTGAGACTCTTACCCTGTTAAGCTGATATTATCCCATCTGCAGCTGTCTTTCTGAAATCGCAGTTGTGGACTGCGATTCCTGCCTGGGTCGTCTGCATGGGTTGCTTCCTTAGCCTTGGGAGCAGGGTTGCATACTCGCCGACCGCTGACCGTTTTGCAGCCTACTGGTAGGGCCCTGTCTCTTATACACATCTAGATGTGTATAAGAGACGGGAGCAGGGTTGCATACTCGCCGACCGCTGACCGTTTTGCAGCCTACTGGTAGGGCCATCCACTGAAAAAAATCTGACTATGGGGCTGTACTGCACTTG